ATCCGTGCGAGGCACGGCCCTGGCAGCGCCCCCGGGCTCGTGGGGCTCGGGCTGTTACATAAAAGTGAACAATGCTGCGGTTGTTCCGTCGCTGCCGAGCCGGGAGTTGGCAGGGCCGGGAGCCGCCGATGGGACAATAATTGCTCACATCTGTTGGCTTCACCTGCGCGGCTGGAACGGGCCGGGCCGGCTGCGGGGCGGGCCGAGGGCGGGAGCCTGGGATCCGACCCCCGGGAGAGGCACAGGGATGGAACCCACGGCCCTGCGGGGAGCTGGGGGGCACCAGCCCCGGCCCTGCCCCCGTTTTGGGGGGCACACTCACACCTCGCTCAGTCCCAGCCATGGAGAGGGGACCTGCCATTCCCCCCCACGGGCAGGGGTTGTGTGGTGCTCCTGGAGCTGGAGGGGCCACGGGTTGGGATTCCTGGTTGGGGTCCCTGGGTGGAATCCCTGGCTGCTCTGGGTGTCCTGGCAGAGCCCAGAGATCATTTGGATCGGGCATTCCCTTGTCATTCAGGCAGACCCACAGTGAGCCCTCCTCCCAGTCCCCCTTTCCTGCATCCCATCCCCTGCCTGTCCTGAAAAACCTCCCAGAAAAACTTCATCCCATCCTATCCTTTTCCCATCTCCTCCATCCCAGCTCATCACATCCCTTCCTGTCCTTTCCCATCCCTCCTTTCGTATCGTATCATTTCCATCCCTTCCACCCTTTCATATCCCACCCCATCCCATCCCATCCCATCCCATCCCATCCCATCCCATCCCATCCCATCCCAGTCCCCAATCCTTTGGTGCCCTCTAGTGAGTCCCAGCCCGGTCCCAGCCCCACACGGGGGTCCCGGGGGGAGCACAACGGGGGCCCGTGGTGGTCGAACTGAGCCGCGCTGTCCCGATGTCCCTCCCGCGCCCAGCGGGGCCGGGGGGGGCCGGGAGGGGGTCGGGGGAAGGACCAGGCACAGCTGTGTGTGTGTTGTCCATCGCCCAACAAAAGGCACGTGTCTGACAAAATTCCCCACGTCTGTTCCCGGGAGAACATTATCCATAATCGCTGCTGGCAGGGAAAATCCTGGGCGCCGGCCCGGGTTGGCTCCCGCTGTCCTGGCAGCGGCCCCAGGGAGGGGACACACGTCACGGGGCTCCCTGGGATCGCCGCCCACCCCGGAAGCAGCGCGACCGCCCCCAAACGAGGGCTCCGGGGTCACCTCCAGCCCTCCCCGCTCCCCCCGGGATCTGCGGTTTGGCTTCGCTGGGATGCCGCTCCTGGAATGCCGCTCCTGGAATGCCGCTCCCGATCCCCCCGGAGCGCAGGGAGACCCAGCAGAGCCCAGTTCAACCCAGTCCAACCCAGTTCCTGGTGCCTCCAGGGGCTGCTGGGTGTCCGCGGCTACCGCGGGGTTGGGGCAGGAGCGAGAGGAGCCGAGGGATGAGGGGACGAGAGGATTCCTGAGTGTCCCTTCCCGTATCCCAGCGCCGGGAGCCGGGACACCGCGGGCGCTGCATCCCGGATCCGCGGCCGCTCTCTGCATCCCAGCATCGCATCCCCGTTCCACAGCCCAGTTTTACATCCCAGTTCTGCATCCCAGCTCCGTGTCCTCCCTCTCCCTGCATCCCAGCATCGCATCCTCATCTCTGCATCCCAGTTCCACATCCCGGTCCTGCATCCCGGGCACAGCTCCGTGTCCCCCCTCTGCATCCCAACTCCACATCCCAACTCCACATCCCAGCCCCGTATCCCGGCTCCATCTCCCGTTCCCGCCGCTCGTTCCCCCCCACCCCGGCCCAGCTCGGCTCTGGGACCCCCCCGACCCTCCCTGGGTTGCAGCGGGGGGTCCCCCGCGCACCCCCCGGACCGGTCCCGGGATCCCCGGAGGGTCCCCCCGCTCCGCTCCCGCTGCCGGAGCATCCCCGTCGCAGCCATGGAGACCCGGGATGCGGTTTCCTCGGCAACGGAGGCTCCGTGGGTACCGACCCCCCCCCCGCCCCCGCGGCTCCTTGGGGGGGGATCGTCCCGGGGGACGCGCGCGGGGACCGGGAGGACCCGGGAGCATCACGGAGGGCGGGAGCCCACTCGGGGGGCGTCCCGGGGCTGCGGGGGGGTCCCGCCCCACCGGCGGGACCGCTGGAGCCCCCAGCACCCCCCCCCGGGGTCCCCACCGCGTTCTGCGGGGCTCCGGCACCGGCCACGACCCCGCGGGACCGGCCCGGGGCGAGCTGGGAATCGGGGGACGGCCGGGGGGTCCCGGCGGCGAATCCGGTGACCCCAGAGAGTGGCACTGGCGCGGCGGGACCCCGGGACCCCCCGGAGCTCCCGGTTCTCTCCTGCGCGGCCCGGGGAGGGGGGCAGTGGGGGGCTCTCCGGAGGGACTCCCGGGCTCACCTGAGGTACCGGGGGGGCTCCCGGGAGGGGCAGGACGCGGAGCTCATGGTGCGGGCGGCGGCACCGGGAGCGGCGGCGGGACGGGGACCCCCGCGGGGGCTGGAGCGGAGCCTCCTCGGGTGAAGCGGGACCCTCGGGAGCAGCGCAGACCCTCGGACGGAGCAGCGCGGACCCCCCCCGGCTGGAGCGGCCGCCGCGGCGGGAGCGGATCCTCCGGCGGGAGCGGATCCCCCGGCGGGAGCGGATCCCTCGGGAGCGGCGCGGACCCTCCTGCCGGTCCGGCCCCCTCGGCGGGACTGGCGCGGCCCCCCCGGGGACCCCCGGCGGGAGCGGCCCCGGTGCCGCCCGGGGGGAGGCGGCTCCCGCTGCCCCCGCCCCCTCCGCGGGCATCGCTCCGGCCCCTCCCGGGAGCGGGAACAGCGGCCGGGATTCCCGCAGGATGCGAGTGTGGGGGGTGTGTGGAGGGGGGTGGGAGCAGCTGGGGCCCCGCTGGGACCCCGGGAAGCCCCTTCCTTCCCACCCCCGAGCGAGGGGAACGTGTCAAAATTGTGCTGAACGCTCAAATTCGGTGGGTTTTCACCCGCCGCTGCTCCGGTGGGATCCACATCCGTTGGGATCCACATCCATGGGATCCATACCCATGGGATGTGTGAGCGCAGGGAGAGCTCAGAACCCCCCCGACCCCCCCCAAGTGACACCGAGGCAGGGAGGGGGAACAAGGACACAGCCACTGGCTGCTCCCTCCATCCCACATTCCCACCCTGATTCCCGGGCAGGGAAGAGCAGGAAACCCCATCCCACATTCCCACCCCGATTCCCAGGCGCACACACACGGGCAGGGAAGCCCAGGAAACACCGAATTCCCGGTGGGGGACACGGGGATGTCCAGGAACACACAGGACACGGGATCCACGTGGTTTAATAACAGCTTCAAGAACAGGAGGCACCCGGAGCCCGGGAAGCGCCGGGATGGGCAAAAACAACCCGGGAAACGCTGGAACAAGGGAAGGAGGAGCCCGGGAAGGGGAAAAAACAACCCGTGAAATGTTGGAACAAGGGGAGGAGGAGCCCGGGAAGGGGCGGCTCTCAGACGTAGTACTGCAGCCCGAACTTCTCGTTGTCCATCTCGGCCGAGGGCCGCAGGTAATAGAGCTCGTCCACCGTCGGGGGCACCCAGCGATCCGTGTGGAACACCGACTCGCCCACCTGGAAGGCAGGGAATGCTGGGAGAGGCGGGAGCCTCGGGGGGCGGGATCAGGGCCCCTCCACCCCCTGCTCCAAGAGCTGCCAGGGGGAAGGAGCATCGCTGCCTGTTCTGGGGGGGGGGCTGCTTGGAGCCCGGGTGATCCCACCTTTCCAGGGGGTGACACGGCGCCAAATCCACTGGAATGGCCGGTTCCCAGCCCGCGGGATCACGGAAGGGCAGCCCCACCCCACCCCCAATCCTCGCTCCCAGGAGTCACAAACCTTCCAGCCGGGAACGTCCCTCATGATTTTGGCCTCCTCGTCCAGGTTCTGCCGCAGCAGCCGGAGGGTTCTGCGGGACAGGGGGAGGCTTAGCAGGGAACCGGGAGGGGACACAGCGCCCGGGGGGGG